GGAACCTCAAATAAGAATAGGCCTGCCATTATGCAGTTTTCCAAGGATGGCTTACAAGGTGGTACCTGGAAAAGGCTGACCAAAAAATACAGAAGAAGCCCCCCCACCGGAAGCTCCAGTCACAGCCAAACTGGTGAGCCAGGTTACCACTCAGCCCTCAGAAAAGAAGCTTAATACCAAAAACCAGCGTTTTGCTCTACTCTTAAATTTTGCCTTGGCTTGTCACTAGAGAAATTTCTGGGGAGGTCCTCTTTCTTCCCCTCCTGATTTTTTTTTTTATTGTTTATTGTGAGATTCTGCCACCTGGCCCCAACCCAACATCTCAGATGTGGTTGAAATACCTTCTGAGTAGGCTTAACTGCGCCTATCCAAAGCCAATCTAGAGAATAGAAACATCTTCTCGGAGGATTTTTATTTTCCTGATGTGCAAATCTAATATCATTTTGATGAGATTTCCTGATGGGGATGAAATGCCTACCTACAGAGAGGTCTCAAGTGTTCAAAAGCGCCCAAGGGAATATACTTTAAAAACAGGCACTAAGATTTCCAGTCAAAACAAATCCAATGAGACTGATTGAAATTAAGACCCTCGAGGCCCAATTCCATGGAGGCACCTCTGAATTATGCCATTTCAGATAATGACAGATACTGGAGCCTAAGGCTCCCGCTAGAAATCATTCTCAAATTTCAGACATATGGTAAGACCTGGTTCCCACTCAAGTGGAGTTAGTTCCGAACTCACAGTGGAGTTAGGGGGACAGATGCATAAACATTCGTTCCACAAATACTTGCTGGATGGCTCTCTGTTCCAGGCAAGGCTATAGGTGCTGGGTACTGGGGACCAGAGAAAGACCTGCCCTTTTGGATTTTGAGTGAAAAAGAAGACAGGCAAGCAATAGTCAGACAAATAGATGTGCACAGTCCTTTCAGGCGGTGATCAGTGCAAAAGGAATAAGAAAATGCTGAATTGCACCACTTTTGACCAGAGGAGTTCAATGAAGGGAGAAAGAGAACTTAGAAACAGGTACTTGAAAAGGAGGAGGCACAGGTGGTGACTGCCTATGTGTGAGCTCATGTGTCTTTGGCTGGCTGGGTGTGAGGATGGAGAGATAAAAAGTGCATAAACAAAGAAATGGAAACAAGAATGAACAAGGCACACACAGAGCGATTTGAGCAGCATTTCCCTCTGTGTGTTTAGTGGAACTCATCCCCCCGGAGAGGAATAGAGGTTAGGTGGATACAAGTGGTATGGCCAAATAATTTGGGAAGTAGTTGTATAAGAGCATTGAAGGGGCTCAGAATGGAAAGTAGAAAACTATGGAAGGAAAGCAGCAGGTTGCTGTTAAAATCGGAATGGTAATGACGCCACGCAACAGCAAGGGAAAGGCAAAGACGCAGTGGAGACATTTGAAGGGAACATGCCAGGTGGCAAACTTAGAATACAGGACCAATGGTGGTAACAGAATGGGACGGAGGAAGCTGAGGAAGAGAGACAGGTTAGGGATGCAGGGAAGGAGGATTAGGGCTAGCAATGTTTGAGAATGTACTATGCGATGCTGCACTTTGAGTCTGTTTGAGATAGAGCTAAACATTCTTGCTTCAAAAAATTCTTGGAGATCGGTAAGAGGGTCCCCACATTACAGAGTTTTGCGTACAGAGAGGCATGGCTTTTGTGGATGGAAACCCTCTGGCACATGCCACAAAACTGTTGCTGGGGACTACTGAACAGCCTCCAAGACAAGCTGTTTCCAGTGCGTCTGAGCCAGCCTGTTCTATCCAGAACGATTCTAGGCATAAGTGAAGCGTTCCAAGACTAAGCCAACGTCTACATGTTCGATTCATTGGTTGTGGGACAACACCAGTTGCTCTTCCAGGGTCAACACTTAGCATCTTTGAAAACTAGAACCAGGATCTTCCCACCCTTCTGGGTCTTCCCCAGGCCGGGACCTCAGGCCCTTTGCCTGGGCTTTATTTGACATGGTTGGGAGTCTCCTCAACGACCCTGTTCTCTGCCCTGAATACACACCAGCCAGTTCATGCAGTTAATGAGCTTTAATGTTTCCATGCTACAGAGCAAAGACCTCCTATTTCAACAGAGTTGGGGTGAATTGAGTTAAGGTGAGGAAAAACCAAAACCAGGGTCTGTCCCTGCCCACCACCTCTGAGTCCCTATCTTGGCTCTGATATTCACACCTAAAGCTGAAGAGCCTGCTACTCATACAACGGCATTTTTTCCTGCAGTAAGTGCTTCACGGTGCCTGACTCATACAGTGTTTCTCAAACTGAGGTACATCCTCAGCGGTTCGGCAGGTCTAATTTTTATTTCCTTTTCGGCAATAGACTAAAACATTTCACAAAGCATGCCCAGGGACATCGGAGGACCACTGTATAGCTAAGAACTCCCTCCACCACACACACCCAGTTTCAGTACCTGTTTTTATATTTCTTTACCAATGTATTATTTTTGCAAAAAAAAAAATCACTTTTATTGTCATAGCCTAATGAGAAGGAAGCAGAGGTAGACTTAATGTGCCAGTGATACGTCTGTGCTTCTATCAGGAGAAAGGAAAGCCTCCTGATGACTGGAGTCATGGGTGGTTCATCCTCAGACCAGTGGTACCAGCACCACCTGAGAACTTGTTGAAAAAATGCACATTCGGCCAGGTGCAATGGCTCACACCTGCAATTCCAGCAATTCGGGAGGCTGACACAGGTGGTTCTCTTGAGCTCAGGAGTTCAAGACTAGCCTGGGCCACATGGTGAGACTCCGTTTCTACAAAAAATAGCAAAATTAGCCAGGCATGATGACATGCACCTATAGGTCCCAGTTACTTGGGAGGCTGAGGTGGGAGGATCACTTGAGCCCAGGAGGTTGGGGCTGCAGTGAGCTATAAGCGTACCAGAGTACTCTAGCCTGGGTGACAGAGCGAGACCCTGACTCTTTTAAAAAAAAAAAAAAGAAAAAAGAAAATGCACATTGCTGGGTGCCGCTCCACATCTACTGAATCAGAAATTCTGGGGTGTTGCTGCAAGCCCTCCAGGTGCTTCTGACGTATACTCAAAAAATTTGAAAGACCCTGGAAGAGGGAAAAGTTCAAGGGCAGTTGAGGCATCACAAGATGAGCCTGACAAGCTCAAAGAGCCTGTGCCCAGCAGTGAGAACTGCACTCACGCTATGTGCACCCACTCCCTTCCCACCAAACATTAGCCACTGCATTCATGTTGCCCATTTCAATATTCTGGGGTTCTTTTACTCTCGGCTATATTTAACTTGTAAATGAGTCTTGGTTTTTCAGTTGTACAGGGCCATAGAATAAAAGAGTTTAATTTGGGGCTCGTGTACATACAAAATTAGCTGGGCATGGTGGTGCAGGCCTGTGATCCCAGCTACTTGGGAGGATGAGACAGGAGAATCGCTTGAACCCGAGAGGCAGAGGTTGCGGTGAGCCAAGATTGTGCCACTGCACTCCAGCCTGGGCAACAAGAGCAAGACTCCATCTCAAAAAAAAAAAAATCCCATAAAACCTCCCGTCAACACACACAGTTATCAAGAATGTACTTCCTTTAAAAAGACGGTGTATAATACTCCAGTTTGAAGAACACTGCTCTATGGCCCTTTATATTCCCTTTAATCTTTAGGAGATACCCAGCTTCCTGTCCCAGGTGGGGGTATCGTATAGTGCAAATGCCTTTAGGAAATAGAATGCCATGACAACGGGAAGGGAACCCCACTAAAGGGGTTTGGAGAACATATGGGGCCAGAAGACCAACGCTAAAGCCTGTATGAAAGTTTCTTTCTTGAAGGAGACCTTGAGACACCAAACTGCTTGCCTACTTGTCACCAACTGGCTTCAAGAGACGCCAAAAGTCTCCTCAAGTCACTGCATATTACACTGGTCTTTGCCTCTCTCCATCATCTGGCTGGGACCACAGGTAAGTTTAACAGATGCTTGCCTTCAAGACGGCGCCAGAGCCATCCAGGTGGCAGGTCTGGCCAGAGTTCAGCAAGCGGTTTTCAAGGTAACTTTGATGACTTTACAGACTGACTCCAGAATTCCATTTCTTTTGGAGGAGTTTATCATGAAAAAAAACAACAAAAACAGAAACAAAAAAACTGTCACAAAGCCTTAAAGAGGACCCACCTCTCTCATCCATAAGATGTGGATAATAACAGTACCTACCTCTCAGGTTGTACGAGGTCACATCAACTAAGCCACAGAAAGACCTGAATTCTGTAGCTGAAATAAATTAAGCTTGATAAATTGGGACCTACTGTTTCATCAAAAAAAAATTTCTTAAAGTAAGAGGGGAAAAGCTACAGTTATATTTGTACCGTATTGCCAAGTAAGATTGGAAACCTACATGAATGGTCATACAATCCTAGCTAGGAGATTGTAAAAGGGAAACCAGACTGA